GCACATTTTGAGGGAAAAAAAAGACGTTTATATGCGCCTTATAGTCGTGAAAATACGGTACAAAAATTATTTATCAAATAACAAATTAATTATATGAGCCTGAGTTATTTCTAAGAGTTGAATACAATTATTTTAGAATTTAAAAGATGAATTCATGCTCCAGCTCTGAAGCACACAATAACCAATTGATAATGTCACACATTCATCAAAGTCAGTTTCCTCCTTTTTTTTTTAGAAGTGGGCTAGCAGGACTGCAAAGGAATATAAAACTAACAAAAATACTGGTCAGATAGATACACAATTCAGCATTACTTCTGTTTTTAACCAGAAATGTAAGAGAAAACACATGTGCAGTTGTTTGTTTTTTGTAGACGGTCAGTCTAAGCTTAATCAAACTTATTGGCCCCTTTTTCTGCAAAAATAGATTTCACACTTACAATCTTACCCAATAATTAATAGGTAATTAATTGGGTCAGGGTTATGCATAAAAAGTTTGTATTCTGAATGTGACCGGAGTTTTCCTTTAACAGTTGCAGAACTGGAAAACGCTGAAATGGAGTTCTGTCAAAAGCAAAGCTACACGGATGGGATTCTGGCTCAAAATAAGCGTTTTGAGCCAGTTTTAGCTCTGTCCATTGTAGGCAGCATTAATGAAATGTTTGCAGTGGCTTACCTGCTTAGCAACTATCTAAACAAAGACCTTGTCAAGAGATGGGCTAAGTAATGCTGACAAATTTCCTACATAGTTATAGAGAAAAATCAACAGCAGTTTTTTTATTTTATTTTTTTTATTAAGAGATGTTACAAAATGATTGAAAACTACAATGATTCCATATTGTGTTCATGAAATTGAAAAAGATGTTTTGATTTAATTTCATACAAATTCTGAAATATTTAATATTCACTGACTGTACAATAAAACATCAAAATGATTATTTGCCAATCAGCTGTGCTCGTCTCATTGAGAGATACTTAGGCATGTAGATGCTAAAGAAGAAATGATCACACTTCTGCCTTATGATGCCTTGTACATCTTTGTCAGCTTGCAGTCGCTGAATAAAGTAATCCTCCTCTGCCCAAACAAAAAAGTCGCATCACTCCAATCCGGTAATAAGGAGCTGGCCTTGTACTTGCCAAAAGTATGCATGGCTTTTTTTTTTTATCATGTCAGCCCCTCACATCCGCAGGAGTACGAGCTGTGTAGGCCCCGGCGCGGCTCTGCATCGTCCTCCAAGGAATCTTCGAGAATTCCTCCCAAATAAAGCAGGCGACACAAGCTAAATTGGGCTTCCTGGTTTGTGATAAATACGACAAAGCATCCAAGCGGCACTAGGACATTACTCATGCTCTAACATGCTTCATAGCAAAGGATATGCTGCCGTTCTCTGCTGTTGAAAAAACCTGGGTTCAAACAGCTGCTTGCCACTCTGGATCCACGATACGAAGTTCCGGGTCGAAGGTTTTTCTCAAACACAGCGCTCCCAAATTTGTACAATGAGTGCAGGGAATCGGTCTAAAGTGAGCTGCGTTCTGTATCTTACTACGCCACAACGTCGGACCACTGGTCAAGTCGCACATCCGAGCCTTACCTCAGCCTATCAATTCACTACATAGACAGAGAATGGAACCTGAGAAGTAAGTGTCTAGAAACTGCGTACTTTCTGGACGACCACACAGCAGAGATGATTGCAAAAGGCTTGACAGAATTATTGGAGTCATGGGGTCTGACTGAAGACAAATGTGTGCATTACCACTGATAGCGGTGCTAACATTGTGAAAGGTGCAACACTCAATCACTGGACTCTGCTCCAGTGTTTTGGGCACCGTCTACACTCTGCCATCGGTGAGTAGTTTGTTACTGAGTTAAATCAGAATCAGCTTTACTGACCAGGGTTTGGCACACAAACCAAATGTCTGAAGAATTATGATATAGTATAAAAACTTAACTTATCAAAATAAATATTAAAATTTAAATCAATAACATTTAAAATAATGTGTAAGCAATATCATTATTGTCCATGGTTTAAAAGTTATGATTTATAACAGAGTGCTTAATAATACAAATTATGGCTTGCTTGTCTTTTTAAGTAACTTTTAAAATCTATTTCAGGTGCAGAATCCAAAGACAAGCAAGTGGAAAGGGCTGTTGCTGTGTGCAAAAAAAGTTGTGGCAGCATTTAGCAATTCCTGGAAAAAGAAGAGAGATCTGGCTGAGGCTTAGATATAGTTTAGGGTCCCCACTCGCAAACTATCTACAGAGTCTGCAACCAGATTGGGCTCTCGACAAAAAAATGATTGCAAGAGTGCTGAAGCAACAGAAGCTCATCTCCAAGGTCCTGGCTGCAGATAAACAGACACAGCACCTGGTACCAGAGTGGCAGGACATAGAGGTCTGGGAGTCTATGAATGAAGCATTAGGTCCTCTGGTGGAGTTTACAGACAGCCTCTCTGGAGAGTCATATGTAACTGTGTCATATGTAAAGCCTGTGCTCCATCTGTTCCGTTCTGAACACCTTCATGTGAGTGAAGAAAACACACCAATCGCAAAAGAAATGAAGACCAAAAACATGGCATACCTTGATGAAAAATATTCAGATCCTGACACAGAAAACATGCTTGACATGGCTACCTTAGTTGACCCCAGATTTAAGTTAGCATATACCGTATTTTCACGACTATAAGGCGCATATAAACGTCTTTTTTTCCCCCTCAAAATGTGCGGCGCGCCCTTTGGTACGGTGCGCACTATGTGTGTTGTTACTGTGGACTTTTGAGACCACCTTATTGAGGAGATGATGAAAGAGTGGCTGAGGGAGGTGAATGTAAGGAGACCAGGTGTTTTTTTTCCACTCATCACCATCGCTGTTAATCTGTGACTCCATGCGTGACCATCTCACAGCTGATGTGAAAAACATGGCTCAACCGCTCGACATCGGTGTGAACTGGACGCAGCAGGTGCAGCAGAAGCAGCGAGTTTACATGCAAAGTCAATGGTTGACACTCTTATAGGTTGACGCAGCAAAAGCTCCCGCAGCGCGTTTTGAGCAGCAGGCGCAGCGCGTCAGGAGTGTTTAAGCATCTGGCACGCTTGACGCGCCGGCAACGCGCTGCTGCTGCTCGAGATGGAAAAATTAAAGTTTTGCTGCAAATATAGCTGTAAGGCAAAGAAAGGCAAAGAAAGGATAGAGTAGTTCCCCCCAACGCGCGTCAGACACACTTTTGCACCGTGCAGGCAGAGCAGCAAAGCTGCTTCAGCCGCGCGTCAGAACTAACTGGTACAATCTAAACAGCAGGCAGCAGGATAATAAAAGCGAACATAGAGAATAATTCCACAAAAAGTGGAAGGCAGCTCTGCTGGAACTGTTGTTCGAGCTTTCGCAAAAGCCGGTGTCGTACGAAAAGGTGAATGTCTGCGAGAATCTGATTACGCTCGCGGGAGCGCGCACCGCAGCCCGCTGAGCGATAGCGTAAACCTGCTTTTCTCTGGATTAAACGGTCATGACATGCAGATACACACAGTTGCATTATAATATAGACCTAATTAAATTATAATATAGGCCTAATTAAAGATTCGAAAGCTTAACGTTTGTCACATAACAGGAGTTACGTGATAGACATGTTTCTATACTCGGTCTGATGACTTTGTGTAGCCCTGACATTGGAGACTACACTACAATAAATATGATTTACTGGAGGGTTTTCAATAAAGAAATGATAACTTTTGCAACGATCCTCGTGACTCTGCATTGTTTTTTTATCTGATCTGGCCGTATATAGCACGAGTTTCCCATGTTTCTATGTGTTTTGCAGTTTTCAATCGGTTTTCACCTGTCAAAAATTGATTGAAGGCACAGTATAGTCACTCAAAGGTGATTTCTACCTAAATATGACTAGATTTCCTTCAGGAGATGCATGATTTAAAGATCTGAGCTCACAAAACAGCTTGGAACTCTTTTAAATGACCATTACAACACAAAATAGCCATTTTGACTTGCAAAAAATGTATTAAAGCCCAAATACTGTCATTCAAAGGGATATCTGCCCAAATATGACTTGATTTCATTCAGAAGCATCTTATTTTAAATAGAACAAGTAATTTTTAGGCAAAAATCACCTTTCTTCAACCACATTTGACCTTTAATCAATTTCTAGCAGGGCGTTTTGACCAGCCGACTTGCTAGAAACTGATTAAAGCCCAAATACTCTCATTTAAAGGGGATATCTGCCCAAATATGACTTGATTTCATTCAGAACCTCCATAATTTAAAGATCTGAGCTCACAAAATAGCTTGGAACTCTTTACCACACTAAAAAGCCATTTTGACTTGCAAAATGGCTTTTTCTTATATGATTTCATATAAGAAATGCTGGGTTTCAAATTACCCAGGAATGGCATGAAATCAAGAAGTTGTTCAATCTCTTAAAAATACTACTTTACTGCCATAGAAATACCAAGAAAAAAAAGTCAATCCATAACCCCAGGCTCACACCGACTCCGGTCTTACCGTTGCGGTGCGGTGGGTGTGGCGCCGCAGTGATTCCAAGTCATTAAAAAGACGTAAACCTCTCTCACCGGCTGCTGAGCTGTCCGGCTGCGGTTACCGAGACACTCCGGCGCTGCAGAAAATTCCGCAAGAAAGTTATCCTTGCGGCGTGCCGGAGCCCTCCGCAACAAGCTCTCGCAAATATCCTTATTTGGGCCGTGTTATCGCGTGAAGTTACGTGAACTCAAGTGAACTTCTGTTAAATCTCCGGACCTGTTGCCGGAGCCGCAGAGCCGCACCGCACCGTAGTCAAAAGGGCAGTGTGAGAGGGGGTGTGCGGGAGTTGCGGTCTCCGTCGGCTCGGTAACCGCACCGGAGCCAGTGTGAGCAAGGGGTAAGTGTTGGTGCAAAATAATTGTATTTCTTTTAATCTAAAGAAATTTATATAGACAAAAGCATGAAACATGAAAATTTGAAAAACACAGAAAGATATAACTATTTACATATCAGAGGGACAATAGCAACACATGCTACTGGCAGGCCGCACAAATATATTCCTTTCGGCCTCTGTATTTGGCACAGCTTTTGTGGAACCACCGTGGGCAGAATTCACATCCAATCTGAATTTGGCAACAGGAAAAAAAGTGAAATTCTAGGCAATTATGACAAACAACAAAACATGTTTATTTTGTTTTTTCTTACATATGGACATTTGAATATATAGTCTTTTTTAAATCTAAGACAGACTAAAGGACAGGTAAAGAACAGTTACCCAATGAGTGTCCCCATCCTGCTCCCCACACAGATGGCACAAGTTACTCAAGTCATCTGCAAAAACAAGGAACATGATTTATTTTCCTTCAACTGTGAGCAATGTTTGTCAGAATAAATTATAACAAAAACCACCATTTGAATTGAGAAAGGTTCCTGGAGAGGTGGCGAAACATCTTCAAATCTTGAAAACCAAGTCTAGTGGATATTTTTTTAATTTTTACGGAAAAACCACCTGTGTTTTCCAAAATGGAAACGGCAATGTGTTCTCGGATAGAGTTCACGCCAGATGTTGAGTTATCCAACTCAAGGGCTAATCCACCCAAGATGCACTCTGCAAACTGTAAATATGAGGTGGAAGAACAGATTTATCATGTGAAATGGTACTCTTACAAGTAGTGTTACTATAAACAACCCAATAAACCATTTTTTACAAATAAAACCACTGCAAGAGCTGGAAATACAGAGATAAACTAAACTGGGGAAAAACAAAAACCAGAACTACAAAGAACAAAAGTTAAATGGATGAGACTCTAGAACAAACCAATGGGAACACAGGACCAGGAGAGTCAAAGGAGGAGGACACAGAAGAGCCAAGAAAACTTACAGGACATGACACAAACATAACGCAGAGGAACCAATGGCCAGGGAAAGTAAACATTAATTCGAATGAGGATCTGACAAGGAGTGAATGAACCAGAGAGCTTATATAGAGGAGGAGAGACAACAGGAAGATGGGAAACACTTGAAGAACAAAACAGTGAACCAAATCTGAGATATCAAAATAAAAACACTCAAGGAAAGTCTTTGAACCCAGAACAGAGACAGAACACAAGACATAGGACACGACAAGATGTCTCATAAATGTTCCTGGATTGTAAACATTTAATAACAACAGCCAGTGTGGGGATTAACGATTGAATTATTATTTTTTTGGATGAACCTAGAGGTTTAAAATGACTGCAGCATAATATAAATTTAATTATAATCCTAACATAAAGCTTAATCATGCTGTGATATGTACCTTCAATGCATAGGCACCACAAGATGTGGCATCATGTTGCAGTGGGTGAGACCTTGTCTCACATGCCCATCTGGACATGTTCAGCCCCTTGTGTCTCATGAATGGTCTAAAAAACACAAATACATGTCTATATATGCAATATAAATCAGTCAGGCCTTACTTCTAAGAATTAAATAGTTAAAATGTTCACTGCATTGATGTAATGTAAAACAAAATTCCTTACTGTTTCCAATCGCATTTCCTATTGAAAAACCACAAAGATGTAGAATGAAGAAGTAAAAACTGGATTTCCAAGGAAAGGAGATAACTTAGACTTGTCAGTGAAGAGTTTTGTAAAACCAGAATAATTTTTTAGCATAGTACAGGGAATAGCTATCTGTATAACCAACAGTTATTACCTTTATGCTTTGAAATTGAGAAAAAGACTTATCACAGCTGGAATGGACGATCAAAAATTATGGGACGATCACAGCCTAGGAAAAGTCTATAAAAGCTACAGTGTGTAATTTTCAGCGACATCTAACGTCCAGACTGCAGATCGCAGCAGCATGAACATCTCCCCCCCACCGCTTCTCCCCCCCAACAGTACGGCGAGCGTTACGGGACAAAATGTCTTCCACGACGTCCGCATCACCTACCTTCTTAAGTGATGAGGTTTGTTTACATAAAAATCCAGAAAATCACATTGTCTTTTAAAGAATTTATTTGCAAAATATGGTGGAAAATAAGTATTTGGTCAGTTACAAACAAGCAAGATTTCTGGCTCTCACAGACCTGTAACTTCTTCTGCAAGAGGCTCCTCTGTCCTCCACTCGTTACCTTCATTAATGGCACCTGTTTGAACCCGTTATCAGTATAAAAGACACCTGTCCACAACCTCAAACAGTCACACTCTAAACTCCACCATGGCCAAAACCAGAGAGCTGTCAAAGGACACCCGAAACAAAATTATAGACCTGAACCAGGCTGGGAAGTCTGAATCTGCAATAGGTAAACAGCTTGGTGTGAAGAAATCAACTGTGGGATCAATTTTTAGAAAATGGAAAACATACAAGACCACTGATAATCTTCCTCGATCTGGGGCTCCACGCTCCACCCCGTGGGGTCAAAATGATCACAAGAACGGTGAGAAAAAATCCCAGAACCACACGGGGGGACCTAGTGAATGACCTGCAGAGAGCTGGGACCAAAGTAACAAAGGCTACAATCAGTAACACACTACGCCGCCAGGGACTCAAATCCTGCAGTGCCAGACGTGTCCCCCTGCTTAAGCCAGTACATGTCAAGGCCCGTCTCAAGTTTGCTAGAGAGCATTTAGATGATCCAGACGATGACTGGGAGAATATCATATGGTCAGATGAAACCAAAATAGAACTTTTTGGTAAAAACTCTACTCGTCGTGTTTGGAGGAGAGAGAATGCTGAGTTGCATCCAAAGAACACCATACCTACAGTGAAGCATGGGGGTGGAAACATCATGCTTTGGGGCTGTTTTTCTGCTAAGGGACCAGGATGACTGGTCCGTGTGAAGGAAAGAATGAATGGGGCCATTTATCGTCAAATTTTGAGTGAAAACCTCCTTCCATCAGCAAGGGCATTGAAGATGAAACGTGGCTGGGTCTTTCAGCATGACAATGATCCCAAACACACCACCCGGGTAACGAAGGAGTGGTTTCGTAAGAAGCATTTCAAGGTCCTGGAGTGGCCTAGCCAGTCTCCAGATCTCAACCCCATAGAAAATCTTTGGAGGGAGTTGAAAGTCCGTGTTGCCCAGCGACAGCCCCAGAACATCACTGCTCTAGAGGAGATCTGCATGGAGGAATGGGCCAAAATACCAGCAACAGTGTGTGAAAACCTTGTCAAGACTTACAGAAAACGTTTGATCTCTGTCATTGCCAACAAAGGGTATATAACAGAGTATTGAGATGAACTTTTGTTAATGACCAAATACTTATTTTCCACCATATTTTGCAAATAAATTCTTTAAAAATCAGACAATGTGATTTTCTGGATTTTTTTTTCTCATTTTGTCTCTCATAGTTGAGGTATATCTATAATGAAAATTACCGGCCTCTCTCATCTTTTTAAGTGGGAGAACTTGCACTATTGGTGGCTGACTAAATACTTTTTTGCCCCACTGTAAAAGTGAAAACATTTATTAAAAATGTGGTTGCTAACTGGGGTGTTTAATGTGGAGTTTGTGGATGCAGGGGAGGTGCATCTAACCTGTAATGGCAGTGGCTGTGGAGAGGCCAGAGAAGGTCCTTTTGGGTGGACCTGATGACGGCGGGGTGGCAGGCGGGTGTGATGACGGCGGGTGTGATGACGGCAGGGTGGCAGGCGGGTGAGATGACGCGGGGTGGCAGGCGGGTGAGATGACGTCGGGGTGGCAGGCGGGTGAGATGACGGCGGGGTGGCAGGCGGGTGTGATGACAGCGGGGTGGCAGGCGGGTGAGATGAAGGCAGGGTGGCAGGCGGGTGTGATGACGGCGGGGGGCAGGCGGATGTGATGATGGCAGGGTGGCAGGCGGGTGTGATGATGGCAGGGTGGCAGGCGGGTGAGATGACGCAGGGTGGCAGGCGGGTGAGATGACGGCGGGGTGGCAGACGGGTGTGATGACGGTGGGGTGGCAGGCGGGTGAGATGACGGCGGGGTGGCAGGGGGGTGTGATGACAGCGGGGTGGCAGGCGGGTGAGATGAAGGCGGGGTGGCAGGCGGGTGTGATGACGGCGGGGTAGCAGGCGGGTGTGATGACGGCAGGGTGGCAGGCGGGTGAGATGACACGGGGTGGCAGGTGGGTGAGATGACGGCGGGGTGGCAGGCGGGTGTGATGACGGTGGGGTGGCAGGCGGGTGAGATGACGGCGGGATGGCAGGCAGGTGAGATGACGGCAGGGTGGCAGGCGGGTGAGATGACAGCGGGGTGGCAGGCGGGTGAGAAGACGGCGGGGTGGCAGGCGGGTGAGATGACGGCGGGGTAGGTGTGCAATCTGTTATCTTGTGTGGCACTCTTTGTTCCTCCTGATAAGTAACCAAATGGTCCCGACTAATTTTAAGAATTTCCACTCCTTGGCTGTTGATCAGGTCCACACTTTTGCCGTCTATGGCCACAATTGTGAAGGGCCCTAGATAATTAGGGTCTAATTTTCCCCCTTTTCTCTGCTGGCTCCTCACATTAAGCCTCCAGACCTTCATACCCACCTGAAAGAACGAGGGAGTTTTTTTGGCCTTTTTTTTTGGGAGTTTTGGCCTGGTTATTATTTATTGCACTTTGAAGTGCCTCATCCAGTTTAAGGATATCCTCAGTCATTTCCTCAACTGAAATGTTGTTCTCAACACTCCCATCCACCTTTAAAATGATTTAATGGTTAGATTGAAGCATTAATATACACATTGTTCATTGTTTCTTTGACATACAAAATGCAACTCACCCTGTATTCTTCAGGGATCTCGCTGGGGTACCTTGCCTCTCTCCCAAACATTAAAAAATATGGGGAGAATTTAGTGGTAACTTGGCGCTTAGTCCTGAGTCCGAACATCACAGCATCCAAGTGCTTGTCCCACTCCTCTGGCCTCTCCTGTGCAAGTTTTGATATGGCCCTAGAAAAAAGTTAAAATCATGGAGCTATTCTTGAGTTTTTACGATTCATATACTGTTTATTTTATAACCAACAAAATTTCAAAGTGATAATTATCAAATGTTATAAAAGACATACCTCTGGATGGCCCCATTGATCCTCGCCACCAGTCCATTGGTCTGGGGATGGTAGGGAGAGCAAAGGCTTCTTTGTATCCCCAGTATATTGCATACTTTTTTGTTGATCTGTATTGGAATAAATAAAGACAGCAAATTAAATGTATTTTTAGAAATAATGCCTTTGTTTTTCATTGAGTTCAAAACATTTAAATGAGTTATTACAAAAATTCTATTCATGATAAGTGTTTAATATATTTTTATTCAATGTCAGTAGCATATATACCTCATTAATGAACTCCCGGCCTTGGTCAGTCAAGATCCTCTGGGGAGCTGGGAGTGGTTTGACTATATTATTTCTTGTCTTTTCTTTCATAATCTAATTCCCATGTAAGAGGCACCCGTTTAAGGGTCGCATTGTAAATTCAAATCATTATTTTACTCATGTTTTTCTTTCCTTGTGTCAATAACATATAATTGGGGATTGATGCATTTCGAGGAAAGGACCCAGGATCTCTGTGATGAGAAGGACCTTACAGAGGAATAGAAAAGGTGATGACGTTTGATTGTATTTATCTCACACTTAGCTGTGTTAACAAGTTTTAAATTACAAAATTCCTGAAATTATTGTGGAGCATTTTGAAGCTGTAACACTGATTGCCCAGTAGGATTGGACTGCCATTTTCTTTGAGTAAAGTTTTCTCCTGTTTTTGTTATCTTAGGAAGGTAAGATGATTGTAATCTATTTCATGTTTCTTTAAACAGGTAAGATGATTCAACAAAAGATAGACTTTTTGTTTGTTGTTTTGGCCTGAGGTCCAATCTGAAGTCCTACAATCATGTTACATGATTTATGTCATTATTATCAGAAAGGTTAATTCTCTGAGATTTAAATTTTACAGATTATTGGAGGATATTTGGAAATATTAATAATTGCTGATAAGAGAGAAGATACATCAAGAGACAATGGGACATTACTGCAACAATCAAAAGTACTCTTATTTTAATTTGAACATTAATTACAGAAAATGGATTCATGAAAAACAGGATGTGTTACATCTCTAGATTTAGTTTCAAGATACTGGTCAGTTTTTTTCTTTCCTCTCAGGATCACATCTGATAGTGAGATTTAAGGACACTGGGACAAGGACTGCCCTCACTCTGGATCAGCATAAGCCATGGACACATGAACGATATGCGAGGCCCAGGGGACCAGGACAACCAAGGAGCAGACTGACTGAACTCAAATATTAAGGGAGGTACATCAAAGAGTAATGAAAGGACAAGAGGACCAGCGAACTCTAGCTACACGTCGAAAGAATACAACACCAAGGAGCGACCAGCAGATGGACAACCGAGAGGACCAGATGTGATGAAAGCATCACAGGGGGAATGGGATCCTTCTCCAATTGAATTAGATAAGTCAAACACTACGTACTACAATAGGATTGGAATAATATGAATATTATTGTCTATGATTAGTTGATATTTGCTGATAAGAACGCTAATTGTGGTTTTTCTGTCTTACTCATTTTGAGGGGATGGATTGTAAAGACCTGTGACCCCAGGCATGAGACTGCAAACCTTCGACTTCCGCCTGCAAAATACTAAAGGCGGGAACCGGTGATCCTGTGTTCATGCCTTTAAAAGCCAAGGACAGAGCCCTGAAGTGAAAGAAATATATTTTTGATTTTTTTCAACAGGAAAGAAGACAACACAAGTATCAATTATTCTTGTATTCTGCAAATATAAACCTGATGATTGTAACATGCCATTGCTTTGCATAATAACCTGTATTACGGTTTTATTATGTCACGTTGTAAACCATCCATAGCAGGCTGTTTAGAGGAGTACTAACTGACTGACTTCTGACTGACTTTTATTATTAATTATGATACTTAGTAATGGTTAGTTAATAGTGTCATTTAAAGGTTTGTATCCCCCAACTTCCATCCATATCAGGCTGTGTTGGTAATGTTTTCACTTAAACTTCACACACATGTAAGTGCACTTAGTCGCGTAGTATTCACATCACCATGTAACATCACAAAGTATTTCATCTGCAATGAACTACAAGGGGGAATGTAGTAGCAGTTTTATTGTCTTATATCATATCAGAAATCAGAATCAGAATGTATCCTACAACATGGTCCTATACTTACTTAGCAATAAAACAGTACATCTTGAAGTTCAAGTATGAGTCTTAGCAATAATAAAGACTAATGCTGTAGAATATAAATATCTGGCTGGCTTGCCAAATATGGAAGCAGTTGTACTGCGTTATGTAGACCTGTTTCTGACCTTATGCCCACTTAGCAACACAGAGAATGCAACATGTAAACAGAGAGTCTACAAGCTGGGAGTCACGTACGAATCTTGGCAAAAACAGGGTTCTTACTGGCTGACACGCACGCAATCAGCTCATGAGCTAAGAGATTTCCAGGAAGAGCGTCCAGTGGTGCACGTGCATCCACACAGTGCGATTTGGAGCCTATAAAAGGCCGCCCACAATTGATTGAAGGTGGGGGAAATTACAGATGTGAGGACATAGCGCTGAATGTATGAAGTGTTTAAGACAGCTGTATGAATTCGGTTTTGTAAATAAATGTTCCCCCCCTTCGGATGATAGATGGTGTGAATCGTCAGCCTTCTTTCTGTCATAAGGGAATTCTACCAATGAGCTTCCATACTTCAAACTGATAAAAAAAACCAGGATGCACTGACTGACTTCCTCAGCAGTCTTGTTTTTTATGGCATATGCCTGGGGCCACTTTGTCAGGTAATCAACCATGACGCAAATATACTGATCCATTCCAATAAGCTCAAATGGTTTTGAAACCTGTCACACATAAAATATCACAATTAATATGTATGTCATATGTCCTCAATAAGTACAATGTCAAACACATTTTATCTAAAAGTAAAATATAATATGACTGAAATTATGTTGTTGTTTATTTACTTTTATTGGTGTGTACTCCACCTCCTGCTTAATGACGACTCTGCTGGCCTGGCATGCAGTACACTGGTTCACCTGACAAGGAAACAAAAAAAACAAGTATGATCATTTTCCACATCTGTGTGACTTAGAGTCCCATAATTTATTTTTAGATAGATAGATATGGCAGGATAACATACACTCATACTGACCCACTGTTTAATGTCGTCTGACAAGCCAGGCCAGTAAAATCTTTTTGAGATGGCCTCTGTTGACTTTTTCTGGCCACAGTGTGCACCAGTGCTGCTGGCATGAAAGTCTACAAAGACTACATTGGCCTCCTCTTTTCCACGGAGCACCTTGGCCTTATGACAATTAGGCTGTCCTCTATGTCTTAGGTAGTACAGATGGCCATCTGCAAGAAAAATAAATAAATTATTAATTACAAGCATGTACTATGAAAACTATTTAATAATTTAACAATTTATCACACAAGAAGTAAGCTATGTTAAGCTGACCATGTTTTTAAAAAAGTCTTAGAGAAACACTAAATATGCGTTCAAAGATGCACAAGCTCGTCTTAGAGCGCACTTCCCAAATGGACACTTAACTATCAATTATAGACCATCAAAAAGAACACAAATAGCTGCAATATCTAAAATTTTTTTAAAACAAAACAATTATATATGTATAACTAACGACACAAATTCTGGTACTTCTTACAACAAGAAAAATAAGAAAATGTACAGGTGCTGGTCATAAAATTAGAATATCATGAAAAAGTAGATTGATTTCAGTAATTCCATTTAAAAAGTGAAACTTGTATATTATATTCATACATTACATACAAACTCATATATTTCAGATGTTTATTTTGTTTAATTTTGATGATTACAAATGACAACAAATGAAAATTTCAAATTCATCATATCAGAAAATTAGAATATTGTGAAAAGGTTCAAAATTGATGGCCCCTGGTGCCACACTCTAATCAGCTAATTAACTCAAACCACCTGCAAAAGCCTTTAAATGGTCTTTCAGTCTAGTTCTATAGGCTACACAATCATGGGGAAGACTGCTGACTTGACAGTTGTCCAAAAGACGACCATCGACACCTTGCACAAGGAGGGCAAGACACAAAAGGTCATCGCTAAAGAGGCTGGCTGTTCACAGAGCTCAGTGTCCAAGCACATTAATAGAGAGGCGAAGGGAAGGAAAAGATGTGGTCGAAAAAAGTGTACAAGCAAGAGAGATAACCGCACCCTGGAGAGGATTGTGAAACAAAACCCCTTCAAAAATGTGGGGGAGATTCACAAAGAGTGGACTGCAGCTGGAGTGAGTGCTTCAAGAACCACCACACACAGACGTATGAAAGACATGGGTTTCTGCTGTCGCATTCCTTGTGTCAAGCCACTCTTGAACCACAGACAGCGTCAGAAGCGTCTAAAGAGAAACAGGACTGGACTGCTGGTGAGTGGTCCAAAGTCATGTTCTCTGATGAAAGTAAATTTTGCATTTCCTTTGGAAATCAAGGTCCCAGAGTCTGGAGGAAAAGAAGAGAGGCACTTCATCCACGTTGCTTGAAGTCCAGTGTAAAGTTTCCACAGTCAGTGATGGTTTGGGGTGCCATGTCATCTGCTGGTGTTGGTCCATTGTGTTTTCTGAGGTCCAGGGTCAACGCAGCCACATACCAGGAAGTTTTAGAGCACTTCATGCTTCCTGCAGCTGACCAACTTTTTGGAGATGCAGATTTCATTTTCCAACAGGACTTGGCACCTGCACACAGTGCCAAAGCTACCAGTACCTGGTTGAAGGACCATGGTATCCCTGTTCTTAATTGGCCAGCAAACTCTCCTGACCTTAACCCCATAGAAAATCTATGGGGTATTGTGAAGAAGAAGATGCAATACACCAGACCCAACAATTCAGAAGAGCTAAAAGCCACTATTAGAGCAACCTGGGCTATCATAACACCTGAGCAGTGCCACAGACTGATCGACTCCATGCCACGCCGCATTGCTGCAGTAATACAGGCCAAAGGAGGCCCAACTAAATACTGAGTGCTGTACATGCTCATACTTTTCATGTTCATACTTTTCATTTGGCCAACATTTCTATAAATCCTTTGTTTTTATTGGTCTTCAGTAATATTCTAATTTTCTGATATGATGAATTTGAGATTTTCATTTGTTGTCATTTGTAATCATCAAAATTAAACAAAATAAACATCTGAAATATATGATTTTGTATGTAATGTATAATTATAATATACAAGTTTCACTTTTTAAATGGAATTACTGAAATCAATCTACTTTTTCATGATATTCTAATTTTATGACCAGCACCTGTATAAGTCCCTCGGACATTATACCCTCGCCATTTCCCGAGGACCCATCTCACCTTGCACTTCAAAAGCCTTTGACTTTCGTCGAAAATTGCTCTGTTGGAATGCAGATAAGCCAAGGGGCATAGTTCAATCGGTTAAGAATGACTTTATTTGGTCAAAGAGACTGGGATCCATGGTGAACAACGTGGCAAGTGCGTATAGTGTCCAGCGCACGTATGCGTATGTCAATTAAGAAGCTCTGTTGAAGTGTGCACTGTTAAGGAAGAAATTTCTAAAAAGTTAACTTTGGAAAAAAGTTTGGCTCTCTCTCTTCCTCTGGATCCCAGGTCCTTTCGGCGGCCACGTGTAGCCACAAGGAAAACAACAATGCGTGTTGACGTCACAGAATTACAGAGTTTAATCCAATATAAGACAATGCATAAACTTAGAAGTAAGACAATGCACAAACTTACACCAGAAACTGCAGAACAACAGAGACATACATTCATTTACCTGACATAAATGGAGAGAAGGAAAGAAAGCAAAGACGTACAAAGACATCTTTGGAGAGTTGCAAGAGCAAATCTGATTTGTTACTTCTGTGTAGAAAGTTTTATAATGTAGGTGTGTCTTTCCTTTTAGTATATTCAGTTAAGGCGTCCCTCCGCTTGACCAATTGGAAGCTACCTTGGACACTCAGAAAAACTTAGAACTTCCCCTAATTTATGGCAAAAATCTGGGGCCATTTGCTCCTTTGTTTTAACAAGAAAAAGCGGAGAGCTTGTCCGGGCGTCCAGGAATTCTAAGGTCATCTGGCTAAGGAAAACATAAGATTTCAAGGATAGCTGTGGAATCCGGGGTCTCTCCTGCTATAAATTCTCAGGAACATACTTAAATTCAGTAATTTGGTTCAAGGAAAGGTTATCTTCACAAACCCAATTTTGCTCTTCTGCACTATTCACCCCAAAAGATTGAATCCTGCCTTAAACCAAAAATAACACATAGAATCAACAGAACATGGGATACAATTCCTTTTTCTCACCTATGAAACATAATATTCAATCCTAAGTATACAAGCTAACACATTTTCCAATACCCCATTTAGCATAGATCCTGAGCAATTTTCTAATACTAAACAAAACATTTTTCATTCAAACAATTTCCATGATTCTGATATTGTCACAGATAGTACAATTTTCAAATGCATTCATCATCTACTAAACTAGTTAATTCTAAAATTAGATAATACAATTTTCATTTAAAAAACATGCTATTAGTACTTAGAAAAATGTCTTAAAAACTAAATGTTAGTGTTTTAACATTCTACATTGTATTCAGTTTCACACCATCCCAGATGTTGGTTCTGGAAGACTTTTGATCTTCTGTGAACCAAGCAGACCTCTCTCCTGTACTCCGAATACTTACCCATCAATAGTTTAGTTTTTAAATCATTAACACGAACTTGTTCAAAATTAAGAAATATGTTCAAAATGAGAGTGTTCAACATACCTTTTACACATGCCATAAGATTAACTGAATTAAAAACTAAAAATAATAATTTTTCTTTAACAGCACGCAGTATGCATTTGCAGTCCGCATGCCTCAAAGGAATCAATGCAATGCATAAATAGCATTTTTACACTTGTCAAATATGGTTTCAAGCTACTGATGTTCAACTGTAAGGGGAGTTCGGCCTCAAAATCACTTCATGTCCCTCATCAGTAATATAGAATAGATTTTATATCTTTGGCTTTCACGACTTGTAAACTGCGTAAAGAGTTAGTGTGAGAAATATGAGGTTGTAATCTGTCACATATGATGCTTCAGCGTCAAGACCAGACATTTCGAGGCAGTAAATATATTATAGTTACAAGGAAGGTGCTGCAATCAATTTTTGGCAGGTCAAAATGTCTTTTTAGTGTGTTAAAGAGTTCCAAGCTATTTTGTGAGCTCAGATCTTTAAATTATGGAGGTTCTGAATGAAATCAAGTCATATTTGGGCAGATATCCCCTTTGAATGAGAGTATTTGGGCTTTAATCAGTTTCTAGCAAGTCGGCTGGTCAAAACGCCCTGCTAGAAATTGATTAAAGGCCAAATATGGTTGAAGAAAGGTGAGTTTTCCCTAAAAAAGGACTTGTTCTATTTAAAATAAGATGCTTCTGAATGAAATCAAGTCATATTTGGGCAGATATCCCCTTTAAATGAGAGTATTTGGGCTTTAATCAGTTTCTAGCAAGTCGGCTGAAGTCAAAACGCCCTGCTAGAAATTGATTAAAGGCCAAATGTGGTTGAAGAAAGGTGATTTTTGCCTAAAAAGGACTTGTTCTATTTAAAATAAGATGCTTCTGAATGAAATCAAGTCATATTTGGGCAGATATCCCCTTTGAATGAGAGTATTTGGGCTTAAATTGTCACAGTCTTGGTTTTGTTATGTTTATTTAGAGTATTCAGTCTTACTTTTCTCCTTGTTTTAGTGTCTAATTATTATTTTGTTGTTTTCTTGTTAGTTCCTGTCCTCCAGGTTTTCCATTTGTTGTCCTCTGCTGCCCTCTTGTGTCCTCTATTCCTAGCTCTGTTTTCTGCTCTGTCCCCCCTTGCTGTTTTCTCTTTTCTGCCAGCACCTGTTGCCAATTTCCTCGTCAGCTCTCTCTTTGTCCTGTCCCCTTTAAAAACCCTCCTTCTTCAGTTTTTGTTTGCTGGATCCTTGTCTTAAATCTCATCAAACCTCTGGTCAGTTCTCTGCCGTCCTTCCTTGTCTCTTCCTGGTTCTTAGTTTTGGTTTTTCCCTGATGTCTCCTAGATTCTGGTTCTGAAGATATTTTTGTTGGACTTTTTGACTCCTGCCTCTGAGCCTGTTTACCTCCTGCCTCAGAACCTGAAAACCCATTAAAACACTTAAATTCATCTCAACCAACTCGTCTCTGCATTTGGGTCCTCTACCAACACCACCAAATCGTGACAGAAGGATCTTTCTCTGCTCATCTCTACATTGGACAGCCTACCTCTGATCAGCCCACCTTGGAAGCGGGTGAGTGCAGCAAGGCAGGTAAAGGAGAAACTGGAAAAATTCCCTGACTTCCGTGACTTTTTTCTCCAAACTGGTTACATTGCTGTAGCTGAGTGGAATATACAGGATGCTTTTGCTCAGCTACACAATAAACCTATACCACCCAAACCACCACTCCGAGACATAACTCAGCTTCCACCAACCTCTGAATCCGAGCCTCCATCTGCTGCAGCTGCTGGTTCACCTCTGCCTTCTGCCTCTTCCAGGCGTAGGAACCGCCGCCGG